TCCAATAATTAAGAAATATTGACAGGTAATCCATGAAAAAAAAAGAAAAATCAAATCTGGACAGGGAAATGCCTTCAGAAGTGCTCGGTCATCATCATTCACATAGCCGTTCCAACTTCCAGTTGCTGCACCATCACCGTCATCTAGAGGAATTCTATCAAAACCAAACAACAAAAATATTGTCATCATCCTCATGTTCCCAGTACAAGATCTTGTAAGGACTAGCAAGAAGCAACAATCAACATGTCAAGAGTGCACAGCTATCCTGAGAAACACTCAAGAGAAGATAAAAACTTTGCTTGAAGGAAAACCAAATATTTAATAGTTAATAAGGAAAGGTGTTTTTTCTTAAATAAAAACAGAAGAAAATAAAAGAAATGGCTTAACCTGCTCTTCAGTGAGAATGTAGTTGGCCTTGGCTTAATGGCAAGAATATCCCTCAAATGTGGTAAATTGAACCGTTTATCAAAATCCTCCTGGAAGTGTCTTTTCCAATCTGGATCACTAAAATCAATCTCTGGTTTATTAACGACTGGTCTAGAATTTGTCATTTGGGATCCAGCTCTAATCATTCTCTCGAATCTTCTGATCTTTGAATTGCTCAAATGTACTAATGGATGCTTCTCACACAACTGGATACCATGTGGATGCATATTAATTAAATCGACCCCGTAAGTTGACGCAGCAAAGGCCATTCTCTGAATGTGGAAGAGTTGAGCAGCTTTGATGAAGCAAACTGGAAAACAAGCAACTGAAACATGATGAGATTGCAGTTTATGACTATCATTACATTTAGAATGTATGGAGAAACCTGTTAAAAGTACTGAGGGCTATAAAGTACTCAAAATAACAAAACAGACCAATGGATTCCTAGTCGAAGTCCTAACGAACCATTCAGTGACTATTTTGAAATTAGTATTATGTATTGTCCAAAAACTTTCCAATAAACTATGACAAAAAAATATATAATTAGGGTTTCAAATTACAGCTGTTCCTCATCAAACTAATCACTGATTTAAACCTCTAAATTCAAAAAAATAAATTTCCAAAGAATACGATGAATCAGGACTGCAGAAACAGATCCAACATGGGCAACTATGAAAGAACAATCACACCAGAACCTTCGGTTAGCATATAGCAATCGTGCCAAATTCGCAAGTTCAATGCAAAATGTCAAAAGAGAAAGCCCCTGTGATGCACAAATCTGTAGCAGCAGATGCCGAGATGGAGATGGGCAGGATCCACAAGGGAGAAACAAAGGACCAGAAGGTGGATAGGAAGAGCGATTAAAACACCTAGATCCAAGAAGAAGGGGAAGGATGTCATACAAAGAGGGTCTGAACCTAACTCATATGCCTTCTCCACTTTTCACCTAACCGTCATAAGTAAAACTATTGGCAAGACGTGGTATGAGAAACTAGAGAAGCCTTATGTGGGGATTTTGAGACGATGATACACCTTAAGCATACGCATGAAGACACTATCTTGAAATCACTAATCAGTTGATTTAGATCCAGAGATTGGAGTTCACACAGAATCAACAAGACTGGGAGAGACGTACGATCGGAGGATTTCGATCGACTGACCTCAGGCTAATCAAATCGGGGAGAAAGGTAAGCCGATCCGACGAAGGCGTGGGAAAGATATCCTCTTCGTTGCTGCTGGAAGCCGTCCTCCGACTCCTACACCCGTGGTAGTTCAAGGTGCGAGGTGAGCGACAGAAGTCGTCTGGTTTCCTCTGCCGCCGCTGACCTCCACGGAGAGCGGTCGATCGGTGATCGCGGAGCAGAACGACGGTCCTCCTGCTTGCACGCCCACCAAAAGGATTATGATCAGACGATCCTGGCCGTCAATCCTGCCACCGATGGAATCCGTCCTTTTTGTATTAGCCAAGTTAGGTGTTCCGCTATGCCTTACGAGTTATTAGTGCCACGTGGACCAACGCAATCACAAGCCACAACACATGAAGCAGAAACAAACCAACAAACACCTTGTTAGCAGAGAAAGATGGCCGCCTGGCAATGGTCCGTCAGAGGTTTCCTGGCTTCCTGGTAGTCTTCGGTGAGTCTCCTGCTGCTCCGTCTCCGACTCATCCTATGTTGCTACCGTACAGAGCAAACGTCCTCCTCTGCTTATTATTTTTGCTCGCTGGATCCACACGGAGCACCGTCTCGTCCCCAACTCATGCAAGAGACCGAAGGCAGCGTTCTGCATCTTTGCAGCCAACTGCTCTGTGAACAGCATGAGACAGAACATTTGGTCGGTGGAAACATTCAGATAATGTGCAAACAACTCGTCGCAATCTTCCAACTATAATATGGTGAGTATATGTTGTTCTATTCTGCTTCTCATCTTACAGGCGTTGTTGATTGAGTTCCTTATTTAGATGTAACGCATGCACACCAACAAATGTCCAAATACTTTATTGACTATCATACAGTTGACGAAGCATTCCTTATATTTGGTTGTGCAATCAAGATTTTGAGTTCAAGTTAAGAACAAGAACAAGCTTACTTGTTCACAAAAATTTCCAAGGTTCATGCATTTGGTGCTTAGCAGCATGACCAAACCAATAATCAAGGTTTGGTTGAGAAAACTGCAGAAATGTTTAATTAAGTATTATCATCTAAAACATGCAAAACACACCACACTTAATTGTTATCTGGAATCCGAGTATATAGGATTCAAGTCATGGAAATAATCTTTCTTACTCCCTATGAAAATTATAAGTTTGCCCAATATTTTAATGTTCATAAACCTTTCTGAATCTCTAGCATATCTCTAAATTCAACTCTAAATTGTTAGCCCTTCTCTGATTCCTTGTGCTGAAAAAAATGGTTGGCTCCCTCATTCTTTTTAATATTGAACTCTCTATTTCCTTATCTTGTTTGAGCTGTAAGCCTTTGGCTTCAATTGAGGGGATCCGAAGACCATGCCTTGATGAACTTTTCAGGAAATTTGGATGGAAGATTCTTGATCTATAGAAGCATAGTTAGGGAGTTCACTCGTCACATATTTCCTTCTGAAAGAATGATGGTGGATGACAACCAAAAATTAGTCTCAGAATAGGAAAAACTAGACATCTTCCTTTCTCTTTATGAACAAGGGAACATAAATAATTGCATGATTATGTCATTGTTAATCTAAACTGACAGTGTGTCACAGGGTCAGAAATGCACTGTTCTGTTACTTCAGGAACCAAAGTACAGATACAAATGAATGACAATTCTTTTGGTTCCTGATCATGGTAGAGTAGTGGTAGATGCATGTTTGACTGACCATTCTTTTGGTTCCTGATCAGAGGCCTCTTAAGAAGTTCCAGCTGATATAGCACATATGAGAGAAGTTATCTGAAATCCTCCTTGGCTTCCAAGAAGGTACTTGTATATTTGCCTCAGCCTGTGTGCATAGGACCAATACATTAAAATCTCTTGTTCAATTTGACCATAATTTTTCAGCAGAGTTAACATTGATATGCTGTCAACGTAGGACACTGCAACCTGTATTGGTCTGCAAGGTGTTAATCACAGTACCATGTTTAACTCAGTCAATTATATGCCAGTGAATTGCACTGAGAGTTTAATCATCAGATTTGGATGACCATCAAAACTTTTGTATTAAACCATATTAAAAGATTTCCATGATGTTTATATATTATTTGGGTGATTTCATACCTGTTCAGCTAGAATTAGACTGGTTCAGCTATGGTTCAGGCCAACTTTGAGGATAGTAGGCTCTGTAACGCTGTGATTCTTGGTCTAGTGAATTTAAAAGATTTTATTTGATAAACATGAATCAGTAAAACAAAAATAATCAACTGACTTTGGATATATGGAAGTTTGGCCATTCTATTTTCTTTTACAGTTTAGTAATAGGGGTTCCACTGATTCATGCTCCTCTTCTCCTTCAGTTTCTGTCTTTTCATGGAGTGACAACCCCAGACCTCTTTCAAAATATTTGGAATAAACAAGTCGAAATTACAAAAAAAAAAAGAAGTAGAAAGAGAAGAAAAGAAGAAACTAGAGAGTTTTGAAACAACAGGAAAAAAAATCCATTTATCAAAAAAATCAGAAAATAAAAATGAAAACAGCATAATATAAAGTTGGAATCTCTCTCTCTCTCTCTCTCTCCCTCTCTCTCTGTAGTAGTGCAGGACTGATGGATGATGTGAAACCAGATCCACAATAGCTGTGTGTGGATTAGGTAGCAACCCCAGCAGCCCAAAGGACACATCCATCCCCTAGATTCCTGCCCTCTCTTTCTCTCAAGGACCACCACCCTTTAAATCCATTTTTTGTCCACCTCTGTGGAAATTATTGTTGTCAGCTGACCCCCATTCTCTCTCTAGTGAAGAATCTCCATATTATTTCTTTACCCTCTCAGGCATCTACATACCTCCATGCATCTCATTTGGATTCACTCATCTCCCATATGACAGATTGCCCCTGAGAAAAAAAAACATATATACACACCTACTGATGTGGAAATGGCCAACTTGCAGCTGAAGAAATTGAGGTACCCTTATGTCTACACCCCATTGGTGGAGAAGAAGAAAACAAAACAAGTGGAACAATCTTATCTCCACTCATTTTTAGTTAGGATGGAAGAAATGTTCAGCATGTCCCAACATGTTAAGGACACTTGTTTCCTAACCATAGCAAGCACTTCTACAAGAACAAACCTGTTTTAGTTGGTGTTCCCAAGAAACATTGATTGTATCATCAGGATTCATCTTATAGTCAACCAGAAGACAATTTTTAAGGATGATAAAGTGATAATTGGCCAGTTAATTTATGGTGTAATCATTAGCTAAGAAAAAAAGGAATGTACTTAAACATACTTAGCATAGTACTAGAAATGATAAAAAAGATTAAGGATTTTCTTTGAAACAAGTTAACATTACAGTAAAGAAAGGAAGAAGGATGAAAAGAAGGCTATACTTATTCCAATGGTGTGTGTTTGTTCTTATACCATTAATATTCTTAATAATGCAATTTTATTCTTCTCTCTTTTCAGTGTTCAATGACACATTTCAATACACCTCAGCTCTCACTTCTCTCACTAATCTCTATCTGCCTCCACCTCAACCTCCATATTACCTCTTATCTTTCTGTTTCAACAATTTTTAGTCTAATTGATGTCCTGCAATGGTATGGCCTCATCATCCTCTTCCTTCTTCTCCTCAAATTTTGTGTTACCAATGCAAACCCTTCATGAAGAACAGCACCAAATTCCCAACCCCGTTAGTCCGCATCCTCACACCATCCCATGCAATAATCTCCAAGACCTCAGAGGTAAGTTTGTCACACATCTCCATGCTTCTACTTGAAACTGAGACCAAGCATGCTATGAACCCTTGCGTTATGGTGGTGCAGTCATGGCTCCAATGCTTGGGAAGAGATCCATGTCCTTCTCGGGGATCGAGAATGGTGAAGAGATGAATGCCGACGATGACTTGTCGGATGATGGCATGCAGACAGGCGAGAAGAAGAGGAGGCTCAAGATGGAGCAGGTGAGGACACTGGAGAAGAGCTTCGAGCAGGGGAACAAGCTGGAGCCTGAGAGAAAGATGCAGCTGGCAGGAGCACTTGGGCTGCAACCAAGGCAGGTAGCCATTTGGTTCCAGAACAGGAGGGCCAGGTGGAAGACCAAACAACTGGAGAAGGATTATGATGTTCTGAAGAGGCAGTTTGAGGCCATGAAATCAGAAAATGAGAGCTTGCATGAACAGAACAAGAAGCTCCAAGCTGAGGTACCTGTGAATTCCCATCTCCCTAATTACTTGATTGCTCTTAGCTCCTTTTTGACGGAACAATCTGTAAAGTCTGTAGCTGGATGTTTTGTAGGATCTGGATCTAATTTTGGCCTTAGCATGCATGACTTCTTATAATGATTGGATCCATCATGTTCTCAAATTGACTTGGATGATGATGCTGGTGTCAACAAAAATAACCTCTCTTTTATTATATAGCTCTTTTTGTCTCCTCTCTTCTACAATAACCATTGTGTTTCTGGGAGATCTTGCTGAATACCTTTAAACCTCTCTCTTGTAGATCTTGTCTCTGAAAAGAAGAGAGACATCAGAGATGATCAACCTCAACAAGGAGACTGAAGGTTCAAGCAGCAATAGAAGTGAGAACAGCTCTGAGATCAACTTGGATCTCTCGAGAGCATCAGTCACAGAGAGCCCGTTGAATCCCAACCAAAGCCTGCCCATCTTTCACTCAGTTAGACCAGCTGATGTTGACCACCTCCTCCTCCATAGTTCTTCAAGGCCAGAGCTGCAATGCCCCAAAATAGACCATGGCGTCACGGAAGGAAGCTTTAGCAACTTGTTGTGCAGCATGGAAGACCAATCTGCCTCCTTCTGGTCATGGTCAGATCAACACAACTTCCATTAGTCTCTCTGTTTGATCCATCTCAGTGGCGATGTAACAAGATTTTGCTGCATTAGCAGCACTTGAACTCTACTATATAGATATATATGGTTGTCAAATTTTCAGAAGTGCATGAGGCCACCATCTCATTTTACTTTTGAGTCGAGGAAAGAAAACAGGTCAGGGAAATGCAAGAATTCCTTGCAAGCTACAAAGTATATCCATTTCCCTTGCCTTCCACTGTGCTAAATATAAGGAGAATTTACTAGGTTTACATAAATGTTGCTGTTTGCTAGATTTGTTTATAGTTTTGCATGTTACATAAGCCTCTCTCTCTCTCTCTCTCTCTCTCTCTCTCTCTCTTTCTCTCTCTCTCTCACACTGTGTTCAGATATTTTGAAGGCCAAGGGTATGTGTGTTTTCAGGTGTTCTCAGGAAAGTTCAGCTGCAAGAGTTGAGCTTTACCGACACCAACCTGGCCTTGAGACCCAAAAGGTACAAAAAATGACCATCCTACTATTTGGCTCCTACATACATGGACCATGTACTAGAAACTTTCTTTTCCTCTATAACTAATCATTTGAATAACTATTTTTTCCTCAATGATTGCTTGTTGCAGACTTATAATCAAGATCATCGGATGTAAGTTGTAACTATTCTAAAGTATATGCTGTTTGAGATAAAGAGAGAGACACAGGGAGAGAGAGAGACCATGAGATGGAAAGAGCATGCAAGTGAAAGCAAAGAACATGAGGAAGACAACGAGGTGTTTGGGTTTGGTAGTAAAATCCTGCAGATAATGGAAGGCAACCTCACAAGAAAAGTCCTACTTTTGAGATAAAGAGGGGCATGTGATTCACTGTCCATCTCCCATTCTGCAAACTTTTGTGATGATGGTGCAACTGCAAAGTCTTGTTCAGAACTTTGCAAGCTTATTCTGAGCTCTTCTGTTCTTTTGTGGGAGCTGGAAATTATTTTTTACTGTTCAGGAACACCTGATTGACTGACTGAAGAAAAGAACTCACTGAATCAGTGGATAACAACAATGTCAAGAACCAATCTTAAGTATCATTGTAATACTACTGTTGTTAAAACTTCTACTTTATGTTTATGGCTGAAACAATTGTCTAAATCTCCAGGGAGGGTGTGAAGAATAATAAGATGTTGAATTCCAGCAGGCTGTTTCTATGCTATTTATATAGAAAGATTATCATTTATAAATTGAGAGCATGTGAAGATCAATGGAAAAGGAAGTTAAGGACTTGATATTGCAGCTCATAAGACATGGCATCATGCTCTCTTCAGGGGATCAGCATGGGTGGGTCAGAGCACTCACAAGCACACATATCTGTGTCCCCTAGCATTTCTGGCTCTGAGGATGACAGCATTTTGGAGACCAAGTACAACTCTTGGAGCTACAGAGCTCATTATTTTTTGAGTTACATGCATGATTTTTCATACCATATACACCATTATATGTGACAGTGTTAATCAAATATCATCATATTCAGAAATTAAGCTGAAAATGGGAAATCCATAGCATAGTTTATGATATCCAATGCAAATTATTTGAGAGGAATTCTTTCATTCTGATTTAATGATACAATCAACTGTCCATGTAATATATAATTGTCTCTGCACTGTCAATTACATACTGCACTAGTTCTTCAAAACCAGTGTGCAGCTAATGTTTTCATAGTGGAGATCTCATGGTAAGCAGATGCTGCTGACATAGTTCTGTTGGGTTCAAAAATTGGCCAGTGGCATTTGGCTCCATGTGGAAGCACACTGACAAAGTGATGTTGCACAGGCCTGGAAGCTTGGCAGTAAAACAAGCTGTGGATCAGTAGGCTGAGGAGACAAAGAGGGCTCCTTGAAGATTTCTCAAGTGTTGTTCATGTGCTGTGTGGAGGATGATCAGCTTCATTAATTTACTGCAATGACTGTCAGGTACAAACAGTGTAGGAGACAGATTTTTTTCTTTTTTTTAATGGGGCATCTTGATCTTGCTTCTGTTCTTCTTTTAGGAAATAAATTAGAGAAAACTAAGCTCAAGGCACTGAGTTTTGTTTTCTTTTGTGTTTTGAAGAAACATTGATAAAGACCATCCCAAGAAACCATTAGAAACCACTAAAGTTATACTTCATGCTTCAAGCAATAAATTCATCCAATTCATGAAATAAGAAATTTAGTAGCTTCTTCTCTACCAGAAAATTCAAGGAAAAAGATATTGACTAGCTTCCAAGTAGGATGTTCTAATATAAACAGTATGCGATGAGCCTTCTTGTAGGGAAATATGTAATGTTATGGTATTAGCTATTGAAATGCCCATTCAAGATTTATGCTAATTTAGATGCTCCTATTATTTACAAGGAAAAAAGTTTAGCTTAGGAGTCTGAAAATTTATGAAAGAATCATTGCTCTGAAGAGCAATAATTTATCCTTTTTTTACAACAACAAGTATCGTTCCAACTATTTAGAATCGACTATATAAAATAATATATTTAATTTAATTTAATATATTTAATTTTTTATTATAGTTTCTAACAAAATTTAGATGGACAGATGTATCCTCTCTCTCTCTCTCTCTCTCTCTCTCTCTCTCTCTCTCTCTCTTTAATAATAAAGAAAAAGAGGCACAAACTGAAACTATATTTGAGTTACAAACTTCTATACAATATCAATTTTAGTTTGTTTTATGTCTGAGTTATTTGTGAGGTCCAAAATAAAAACTTCTAACAAACAGGAGCTTGGTGAAAGGTTTGGCAGAGCACAAGCTTCTGGAGACTCATGTAGGGGACCTGACTCATACAAAGGATATGTCACATTCAAGTTCCACTTACAAGAAGGTCAATGACTACTCTTTTGGTTACAGTACTGTGTTCCACTTTATGGAAAAGTAGAGAAATCAAAGTTGGGGGACCATGTACCCAAGTATCATCAGAAGATGCAACACTGTCATTTGATCTCACTGCAAGCTTAAATCTAAATTTAATCCCATGTTCTTCAGTTTGAATTAGAGAGTATATGGCAAAAAGATAAGCTTTTTTCCTTCTTCCTGAACTCCAAATTCTTAGCTTTGTTGCAATATATGATTAGCAATGTATATGCTCTTGATCATCCTTAACTTCATATCTCCTCAAATTTTAGAGATATTCTTGATTCAGAACATGCTAATGTATTCAGATCAATCATCTTTTTAATGTCAGAAATATTGTAGATCCATTTGTTAGGAATTTTTCTGAATCCAACCAAAGAAGCATCAGTAATTGGACCAGTCACTCAGTTGTGAAGCAGTAAAGAACATCACAGACAATGAGGAAAATATCCCAAGAACACATGGCTTGACAAGTTGAGATATCAGAACTCAGATTGAGTCTTCCCTACCATGTGATGCAAGTCAACCTGCAAACTTCTCTTCTTCTGATTTCTAGGAGAGGTAGAACTGTAAGAACTGATTGAGGGTGAACATGGTTGAGGAAGAACAGATCATTGTTCTGCAGAGCATGAATTCTCTGATGAGAAAGATGAGGCATGGCTTCATTGTTTAGTTAGCCATGCAGGCTCAGCTCATTCTTGTCAGAACACCAGTTAAATGTCAGAACAAAATCTTTCTCATATCCATGAGAATTCAGAACACACAACTAGAGAACCATGCACACAGAGAAGTCTGGATTGTTGAGTTCAAATATCTTCATGTGTTACCAACTGTTCTTCTGTATCTTCTTGTTTAAAATATATTTCGTTGTTTGCTTAGAGGAGTATAGTAGCTTTGTGCATGTGGCAAGCACATTGGAGATAGGGAGTGGACTGCAACTACCACCATAGCAGGAAGAACATGTTTGTGTGTGGCCTAAACAACTCATTATTGAAATGTTTGTAGTACCTGAAACAACTCATGCCAGGCATTAACCCTGTTCCTGGTCCTACTTTTGGTTGCATCATAAGATTCCAAGCTGAGATCATGGAGTTGAGACTTGATCTTAATACTCTCTCTCTCTCTCTCTCTCTCTCTCTCTCGTGCATTATGCAGAAAGATTCCAAGCTGAGATAATGGAGCTCAGACTTGATTTTAATACTCTCTCTTTCTCATGCATTATGCAGAAAGTCTTCAGATGAGAACTTGAGACTCCAGATTTGAGAACTCTATTACAATCATTGGTATTTTTAGATTGATAAGTTGGCACAAAAAAAATTAATGAATGAAAGAGATTTAGGAAAAAGAAATAAAAACCTTCCTGGCAAGGAAAAAATATCCATAATAATAATCTTATGAGCTTCAAAATAGATTGACCTGTGGGTTCTTTTTTTTTTGGTGGGTATTTGGGTCTATCCAATCTGCTTAGACCAGATTTCACTGCCCTATAATTAGGCTTGAGATGAGTCCGGATAGAAATGTAGGGTTAGAATACCTGCATTCATCATTTTAATAGCCAGAATTATACTGCTCTGAGAAATATTTACAACAGTATAGTAAGTAGAATAACTGCAGCCAGCATATACTTTCACATATTGTAAGAACAAATTCCGAAACAGGATGAACTACAGTAAGTACATAATTTGCAGAAAATTTGTGCAGCACAAACTTTACATAACAAGAAAGATTTAGAGCTGTTCAAACTGTGAGATGCATTTTCCACAGAGAGATGGCAAGAGGCAATTGCTAACCACAACAAATACAAAGGAACCAGCAATCTTCGGCGGCTGAAAATTAATCTCCTAGATAAAACAGCTTTAAGTGCAATGAATGCAGAATATTTTTTCCTTTAAATGTTGCAGTGGTGCAGCGATATATCCTCAAGACTCGGAAATCTGTATGTTGCTCGATTCTAGTCTTTTAAAGGTCTCGCCTCCAAGCCACCTTCTCGGCGAGTGACTAAGCTGTAGGGCATGTGAGTTCCCAACACTCTATCCCAAATCGAGAAGAATGGCTGCGAGTAATTATATTTCGATCCTTGAAGCTGATGGTGGATGTCATGATAGGCTGTGTTGTTCTGAAAGAAGATGTGGAAGATATTACCGGGCAACCAAAGGCCACAGTGATCATCGATCGTCTTCATCACAGCAAAGCAGAAAAAGAACACCGAAGTGCGTGGTGTCATCCCTGAGATCAGGAACGAGATGGCACCACCAAGAGTGTCGAGAAGGAAACCCTCCAATGGATGGTTGTAGAGGGCTCCAACCGCATAAGGAACAACGAGGCGGTGATGCTGAGAATGAATATGGCGGTACAGAAACTTATTCTGGTGCATGTATCGGTGCATGAAATACTGCCATGTGTCCAATGCTAACATTGCCACAAAGATCTGCAAGATTTGAATGGGAATTGATGGCTGAACAGGGACCCCTGATAAGCTTGCCTTGGCAGTTATCTGCAGTAAAAGAGTTCAATGACATACTACTGCAGAAGTAATACCAATCATATAATTTTTACCTCAGATTCAGTGACCTAATAGATTTCCTCTCACAACTAAACATTAGGAGCCTTGCATTAAAAGAAAAAAAGGAAAAAAAAGGCATATAAATGGCATTTTACCAAGGTACTACTACTATGGAGTCGACAACGACATGTCTTAAAGGCCTTCAACCTGGAGAACCAAGCAGGTTAAGATTGTGACACTGACATAATTGCCCTGGCTATGCCGTCAGTGCACCTTGAACAATATTTATATGATAGCTCACATGCTTGAATTTAGCTGTTTGATCACTGAGATCATATTTCCACTATCACTAGTTAAATGTCTTCGAGGTTACTCAGACCAAAAACTAGAGATCATCTATTAATCGTCAAGATTTCAAATTTCCTTCATAAAATGACCTTGATTCTACTGGCTAAAAACAAACATGGAGACTTAAAACTAAGTTCACCCTGACTGACCCAACTCAGAAATTTGAAAGGCCATGAGAGAAACCTACATGTTTAAAAGTTTGTCTAGCCCATGCATCAATGGGTTAACTATAGCAACACCAAACTGTAAGACAGCTCCTTTGGGTTAACTTTGTGGGACTTAATTCACTTAGACCTGCAGTACAAGATACTGAACAACTTCTGTTACACACCTAAAGATAGA